CCAACAAAATACAAGTCTGGAGCTCTACCCATTCGGCCCCACTGCCTCCTTGACTGGAGGTTGTAAATCCTTAATTTCATCAGTTTGCTGTAATTCAACACTTATTTGGTACTGGGTAACTAGAACTTCTCCTTCTTAATTAGTGTTCATTTTCTGATTTTCTGTCTGGTCTTCCAAAGAAACTGTGTTTTCGCCTCTCAACCTGTAGAACATGATTGACACTTACATTTTCCTCAGTACGTTCAGTCTTGAACGAGCAAGAAGTTACCGAGATATTAACTTTAAAACATTAAAACAGTGCCTGAGGTTTAGCATGCATGTATCTATATTTCACTGGAAAGTTAAAATTTATAGAGACAAAGAGTACTGCGAATGTCAATAATCGTCTCACAATTAATCTTGTTGGAAATGAATCATCGTATTAAAAGACAAAAACAACAATTTTGTTGTCCAACAACAATTTTAGGACGCTTTAGCTGATGAAAGTAATAATTTCCCAAAGGCTGTCGATGAAATCGAAATTACTCAGTACAACGCGTAGATGGTATCACTTCTTTAACTGCTATGCGCAATAATAATAGTAATAATAATTATTACTATTATTATTTTATTATTATTATATCAGCAGTGATACACATCTTATTGCTATGAATCCTAATGGCACGGTAGGGCGCTAAGCGTAGCCTAGAGGCCATGTCATAAATTAACTTTATTTCCTAGCCAATATCTATCCATTTATATACTTATATATATGTATTACATCTCTTTAACAATGAATCAATAAAGCTGCTGAAATGAATTTAAAAAATTCTAAGAAAAACCCTCAAGAATCCTCTTATAAAATCTAAATACGAAAAAAAAAAATACAAATATACGATAATAATTCTCACGGAATTAAAACATAATCAGTACTCTATCAAAGATATGTGGCGAGCAGCTTAGCCACTCCCAAAGAAGTTCATAGAGGAAGAGATCCCAAATACTTAATTTATATAGTTAGTGTTCATATGTTCAATGTTCCTCTCTGATTGGTTGGCGCCACTTCCACATAAGTCTTGAAAGTGCGCGCAATGTTCATGGTAGTTGAAATAACAGTTTTCTGCATCTTTTATAGCTTCCGAACATCTCGTCCATCGTCTCCTGGAGTTCTTTAGACCATTATTATTATTACTATTATGACTATTA